GAAAGTGGCGACCGTTTCAAAGATCGCAGCCCCCAGCGATGGCGAGGTTTAGTCTGAGTCTCCGTAAGACGTCACTGTGCTGGGCCCCCTCGAAAGTGGCGACAGTTTCACAGATCGCAGACCCCCAGGGACGGCGAGGTCTAATCTGAGTCCCCGTAAGACGTTTCCGCTGCCCCCCCCAGCAGCCCTCGAAAGTGGCGACAGTTTCACGGACCGCAGCCCCCCAGCGATGGCGAGGTTTAGTCTGAGTTCCCGTAAGACGTCACTGTGCTGGGCCCCCCAGCAGCCCTCGAAAGTGGCGACAGTTTCACAGATCGGGAGAAGGGAGGAGAGGAGGGGGACGGGAAGGAGGAGGACGGGAGACGCGACCGCAGTGCTCTATTCAAAACAAGTACCCAACGCAGGAGGGTTGGGAAAAACAATAAAGAATACACTTGGCGGCGGCGGCTGCGGCGGCTGCGGCGGGGGCAGCGTCTGCGGCGGCTGCGGCGGTGGCGGCGGCGGGGGCGGCGGCGGCGGCGGAGGCGGCGGCGGCGGAGGCGGCAGCGGTTGCGGTGGCGGCGGCGGCGGCAGCGGTGGCGGCTGCGACTGCGGCGGCAGCGGCTGCGGCGGCGGCGGGCGGCAGCGCGGTGGCGGCGGCAGCGGCGGACAGCGGCGGCGGCGGCGGCAGCGCGGCGCCGGCGGCGGTGGCGGGCGGCGGCGGCGGCGGAGGCGGCGGCGGCGGCGGCTGATCGGCCCCAAGTAGCTGCTCATCCTAAGACGACTGCTGCATACGCTGCGGTTCGGGCCAAGCTCGGGTGCTGCGTATGTGTTGGGAGGGCGGGTGGGAGTAAACGACGCGGCTTGCGGGCGGGGAGGGAAACCCTTGACCCCTGTCCCTACCCCGTCCCCTAGACCTGGACGGGGCGTTTCGCGAGGTGGCAGAGGGTCCTTTTTTGGCCCCCGGGAGGGCCAATGTTAGACACCCCTCACGATGATCGTGGCCCCCAAGGGGGGGGTCGATCGGGGCCTTCCCTCCTTTGATGATAGCCTCGAAGGTGGCCCCAGGAGGCGTTCCAGGGTTCCCAAAGGAGCCCCAAGAGGGCTCCAAGAGGGCTCCAAGAGGGTCCCAAGAAGGCCTCAAGAGGTACCCGAGAGGCCCCCAAGAGGCCCTTGAGAGGCCTCAGAGAACCCAAGATGACCTCCAAGATGGCTCAGCTAGCCCGAGCTGGCTCAAGATGGCTCCCGAAATGCTCCAAACGGCCCCAATACCGTTCCAAGAGCGCCCAAGAACGCTCCAAGCGAGCCCCAAGAAACGGTTCGCCGCGGCTCCTGAGTGGGGAGCTGAGTTTGGACCCCCCCCCCCCATCCTGTAATCGATGGCCCCCAAAATGATCCCAAAAAACCTTCCAGGGTTACCAGGACGGTTCCAACAGGGCCCCCAATTTCCCAAGGAGCACCAGCAGCAGCAGCAGTCGCACGAATACCTGTAGATGGTTCCGTCCGCGTCGTCCTTATCCTAGTCCTCGTCCTCTTCGTCCTCGTCCTCATCCGCCCTCCTCCTCCTTCTCCTCCTCCTCCTCTTCCTCCTCTTCCCCTCACCCCCACCGGCCCCCAGGGATGGCCCGACGAGGCCTTCCAAGGCCGCCCCCGCTCCTTTGCTCCCAACGATCCCTCGGTTCACCCTGGTTGCTCGCTTTGTTTCCCTAGATGTGTCTTTTCGTTCCTTTTTCCCGTCAGCTCTCATGGGCGGGGCTTCTGAACGGGTTGGTGGGGATATTTTGTTTGGTCGCAGCCGCAGGCGAGAGCGCAAGCGGCGAGTCGTATGTCTGGGGCGCGGGCCTACTAATTACAACAGGAGCAAGCTAGAGCGGCGCAACCTAAACAACTAGCTGCCCAAGCGTCGCCTCAGGTAGGCTGCAAGCTGCACTCATTGTGGATGCCAGGGCCAGGGGCAGAACGCGTCCACACAGCGTTCATGCAAGCTGGTGGGGATATTTTTTGGTCGCGGCCGCAAGCGAAGAGCGCAGGCGGCGAGCAGGGTGTCCGGGCCGACGAACAAGCCTAATTAGCTACAGGGCGCGACAAGCTACAGGGCGCAGCGCGAGCCAGCCGGGCCAGCTCACAAACGCGGCAGCTGGGGCAGCAACAGCGGGGGCTTGCTGGCTGAATTGGAACGCCCTGGGAAGCTCAAGCAACGTGCAGCCCTGCGGCAAAATGCCAGGGAATTCTGTGTGACGCGCTGTGGCGGCCAGACGTGGTAAACGATGGGCCGTCGCCAGTGGGGCGCCAAGCCCAAGCTGCGCCAACGGCGTGTGTTGCCAGCTGGGCAGCTCCGCCAAAAAACGCCGAATACCAAGCTGGTGGTGGGGTGGGCCCGGAGGGCGGCCGAAACTGCGAAGTCTGAGCCACTCGGAGCTGGCTGTACCTCCAGGGGCCCTGGTGGGGATACTTTTTTGGTCTGCGGCCGCGCGACAACGGTCTGGCGGGGAGGGGCAATGTCCGGGGCGGGCGGCCTGGTGGGGATACTTTTTGGTATGCGGCCGCGCGACAACGGTCTGGCGGCGAAGGGCAATGTCCGGGCCGGGCGGCACAAAGCGAATTGGCGACCCCAACCGCCACGTTGGCAGGCCGGATCGCACCTGCACAACAAGCGTGCAGTTGCACATGCATTGGACAAAATGCTCTGCATTCGCCAGCAGACGCACCTAGGCGCCGCCCAATATATTAAAGTGTACAAGCGGCCGCGGGTGCGAGTGCAACGGAGTGAGTCGCCCGTGCGGCGCCAAACTCCAAGCAGCCCAGCTAGCTAAGAAGCACGAGCCCGGGAGACAGGCTGTCGGCGGTGGAAAACAAGAGGCAAAAGACGCGGAAGGCTGAACCACTCAGCGCGCAGTCCTCGAACTCCACCGTTGAGCCGAGGGGGCCGGCGGCGCCCATCGCAACGAGTCCGGCGCCTGCGTCGAAAGGCCCGGGGAGAATGCGACGATGCGTAGTACGGGGGATTGAAGCGTGAATATTTTTCCCTGGAGATATCGACGTTAGGATGTCTGGGTCGGTCTTCCCGAATATCAGAGCTACGACCGGAAATTTGGATGGGATCTCAAAAGTTCGGCCTCCCCGCCTGTTGCGGCAATTGAACCACAGTCAATCCCGTTGGTACACAGATATTTGAAAGGGGGTTTTATTATCCGCGGGTTGCGGTGATCTTGGGCGTCTGCGAGGGGGCCTTGCGGACTTTTGCGCACCCCAGCGGGTCGCGCCGAATACCGCCAGGGATTGTTGCTGAGGCTCTAGCATTTGGTGGTTTCGAAGCCCAGAGATGGGGTCCGAGTTCTCAGGGATGGTTCTATGGACGTAGAATGTATGTTTTTGAATCCTCCTTAGAGCCCCGTTTTGGAACCAACGAAACGTTTGGCGCGCAACGAGCCCCTCCGGCAGGCTTCGGGGGCGGCGGATTTGGTGGCTTCCGCCCTTTCTCAGGGGCCTCTCGGTTGGAGTCCTCTGTGGGGCGTCTTTTTGGGGGCCTATGCGGGTTTCCCTCGGAACCCATGTCGGGTCGGACGAAGGGGGGGTTGGGTTAAGTCAGGCGTGTCCTCTTGCAGGAGGACTGTTCAAGAATTGTTCACCAATAGTCTGGTGACAATGTTTCCTGATCTTCGGCCTATGTTTGGCTATTTTTGTTTTTTGGTGCAAAGCCCGCCTGTAGGAGGACATGCCCGACCTAAGGATGGGGAAAGGAGCAGCTGGCTTCTGCTTCGCCGCTGGGCGCCTCTGGCGCCGGAGGGCGTCAGAGGGAAACGAGCCGCGTGCGTTCACTCGCTGCAAGAGCCCCCCTCTGGTATCCCCCCTTTGACCGAATAAGAACAAATGCCATACACATAAACTTGTTGGCGCTCCGCGCGGATTTCTTGGATCGGCGCTGGGGCCCCCTCAGGCGGCGCCTCTGGCGCCCTCCTTGGCGCGCTCCGCACGCCAGGGAGGAAGGGGTCCAGCGCAGATCCAAAAAATCCGCGCGAAGCGCGAAAAGTGTATTATGATGCCGTTTCTTATTCCTTTTCTTTTGGATTCTGTGGAGATTCGTGGGGGCTTGCTGGCTGCCTCGGAGGCCATGCTGCGGTGAAGGCCCCAAACGGCAGCTCGACTTCCCCCTCTTGGCCTGCTCTTCGGGGTCTCTTGGGAGCCTTCTGCTCAGGTGTCACGCGCCGCCCCCTCGGTGTCATCACTCGCCGCAGCAACTCGACGGCCCACAGCCGACGCCACCGCCGCCACCGTGGATTTGATTTGCGGTGCCACATGGACACTATTGTGACTGTTGTTGCACCGTCGCCCACTGCCCATACACACGTCGCAGCTATGGCGGCGAGGATGCGAATGTCATTTGGCGACGGGACGGCGATGATGGTGACGTGGATGATGGTACATGATGGTTATGACCACGGACGGTGATCGTGATTAATATGATGGTGATGATGATAATGATGAGATTGATGACTATAATGATAATGCGTATGCGGATGATGCTGATGATATTGATAATAATGATCATGATGATGATGATGATAATGATGGGATTGACGAGGACTATGATGATGCTGCTGATGATGATGCGCATGATGCTGATGATGGTGATGAATATCAAGCTGACGATGAATATGATGCTGATGATGAATATTGTGATGATCAGGATGAGGCGGAGGATGGTGATGATGCTGATCATGATGATTATGATTATGATTTTGATGCGGAAGATGGTGATGCTGATGATGATGATGACGATGATGATGCTGATGATGATGCTGATGATGATGATGCTGCTGATGATGATGATTATGATGATGATGATGATGATGATGATGATGATGATGATGATGATGATGATGATGATGATGATGATCATGATGGAGACTACCACGGGGATTGTGATGGTATAGCGGAAACGGCCAAGGAGGGTAAGCAGGAGGCATATGAGGACCACGAATAAGAGGATAAGGAGGAGGAGAAGGAGGATGAGGAGGAGGAGGAGAAGGTCCGTAGCCAGTTTTTGCTCAAGCTGGTCCTCAGCCCCCTGCTCGCCATTTCCGCATCGCGCGTAGCCGGTGTCTGGAGGCGGTGTTGCTTGTGGCGGCGAGATCCTTGAGATGGCACTGGAGGCTGCGGGCGATGCGCAGCCGCGGCGTTTTGCCGCTGAGCGAAATGATAGGAGATGGTAGGCACGGCATTCTGCTGATCGTGCCTTGGCGAGTCTCACTGCGGAGCTTGGTCGTGCGGAGGCGCAGTTGCAGTTGGCTGAGGAGGCCCTGGTGTCGCTCGTGGGTGACGCCGACCTCGCAGACCGCCTCTGCAGCATCCTCCCTGCGCTTCTGGCGCTGGCAACTGGCAGCCAGCCGCGATGGCTTGACAAGGTGCGCCGCAACGTGGCCCTTCACTCCGTCGCCGAGGGTGTCTGCATCCATCGTGCTGAAGAACATGAGCTGCTGCGCGCGCAGGCTGGCCTCAGGCGTGGGGAGGGGGTGGAGTCGCGTGGGCACATCAGCATTGATGTGAAGAAGAAGAATAATAAAACTAATACGAGTAATAAAACTACACATAAAATTCTGAGGAGGAGAAGGTGCAGGTGTGCCACGAGATGGCGATCAAGCACGAGCACGCTGGGCCTGTCGAGGTGAAGATGCTTGAGTGCATCGAGCTATCTGAGCACGAGGTGCTGCTGGCGCCAGGAGGGACGGATCTGGTGCGGAGTGTTCGTTGGGCCGGGGCGGAGTGTTTCGTGCCGCTGGAGAAGCTGCGCATGGAATGCCTTTCTTAGCGCTGTGGTCGTCGCGTTCAGCCATGTGTCCGCCGAAGGGACCTCGTCGACGTGCTGGTGTCCAAGGCTGGTCAGCTTCTTGCCGTGGGGTCCCACCCCCCCGCGGTGAGCGGCTCTGGGGGGGGGGGGGGGGCGAGCCGTCGCTGTCGGGATGGCCGTGCAGGAGGGTTTCTCGGGGTGCCGCAGGTGGGGTTCATTGGGACGCGCGCTGGTGTGGGATGCTGCTAGCTGCGACGAGGAGGAGGCTTGCGTGGTGCGCGCGAGCCCCATCTGTGATGGTGATGGCGTCTTCCTGTGTGAGGATAACGAGTGCGAGGGCATTTTCTGCGAGGAGCGTGTGCATCCTGATGTGCAGCGGCTCGCGGTCCAGCATGAGTGATCTCCTTTTCGTCGTCGCGGTGCTCGTGGTGCTGGGCTGAGTGCGGCGAGGTGCTGCGTTGTGTGTGTGTGAGGTGCACAGACGTGTTCCTCAATGCATCGGGAAGAAAGGGAAGCGGAGGAGGAGGAGGAGGAGGAGGAGAAGGACCAGTGGAAACCCAAGAGTTATCAACGATGTTGGAATGAACCATCCCTCCAAGCTCCCTCTTCATATGCCCCTACAACGGTTCATCTCCATTGGGGGAACTGCCCTCTGGAAGACAACAGTTTGATAATCTCGAAGCGTACCAAAACATTTTTCTCGGGATATTTCAACGCTACGAATCAACCTGACAGCTGCGTATTGTCGGTCCAGAATCGTACCAGAACGCTTTTTTTTTTATTTCAACAGATCGAATCAACATAGCTGTTGCGCCCGCATAATCCAGACTCCGTCCAAAAACACAATTTCCGGTGCGTTGACCATGGGAATCCGTGAGACTCTTGCAGTTTTTTAGAACGAATGTGCGCGGCGCATAGGCGAGAGCCATATTTTGAAAAGGAGCCGCCATCAATCCGTGAAACTCTTGCATTTGTTAAACGAATGTGCGCGGCGCTCAGGCGGGAACCGCATTTTGAAAAGGAGCCGCCTTCAATCCGTGAAGCTCTTGCAATGCTCAAGACGAATGTGCGTGACGCTAAGGCGAGAGCCGCATTTTGAAGACCACCCGCCCTCAATCTGTGAAGTTTGTGTTTCTTAATTCGAATGCGCGCGCTAGGGCCAGAACCACATTTTGAAAACGACCTGCCCTCAATCCGTGAAACTCTTGCCAATGTTCCAAACGAATGTGCGCGGCGCTAAGGCGAGAGCCACAGTTTGAAAGCGACCCGCCCTCCATCTGTGAAATTGTTGTCACGTTTTAATTTTTAGAGCCGTAAAGGGTGAGGAAGTCTCAGGCGAAGCGCCCGGCTCGCCCTAAAAACTGGCCTCGCGGTGCGACAGGGAGGAGTTATTTATAAGGAGAAGGAACAGAAGAGGAGGAGGAGGAGGACGAGGACGAGGAGGACGAGGACGAGGACGAGGACGAGGAGGAGGCTGAGGAGGAGGACGAGGCTAACGAGGAGCAGGAGGAGAAGGGACAGGAGGAGGAGGAGGAGGAGGAGGTGGCAGTGATGATGAGGGAGGGAAAGACGGGCGGGAGGGGGTGGTGGAGGAGGGGGAGGAGGAGGAATCCTGCGTAGGAGGAGGAGGAAGACTGGGAGGGGAGGAGTCCTGCTCAGGAGGGGAAGGCATGAACGGCCGCGCCACCAGGTTTTGTCTGCGAAGACACGACGTCGGGCTGGGCCAGGGGGAACAACAAGACGACGAGGATACCATGGGCGACGAGGAAGAGCAGAAGGAAAGCGGTCGTTCGTTTGCTCCTTGTGTCTAGTGGGTGGTCTCCATCGCGGGATAGCCTTCCCGGCGGAGCGTGATGATGTTGTTGGATGGGTGAGGGATGGGCAGAGGGAAGGGTATGGGCGTGGGGGCGGGGAGCGAGAGGACGGAGCGCAGATGGATGAGCAGAAGGATGTGCATGATAATGGCAAGGATCCGAGGATGATGGTTGTGGTGATGTTGCCGAGGATTCTGATCGTAGTGGTGATGGGGACTATGGTGCTGCTGCTGCTGCTGCTGCTGATGATGATGATGATGATGATGATGATGACGACGATGATGACGAGAACGATGATGAAGATGATGATGCTGGTGATGCTGGTCACGATGCTTGGGCCTCTTGGGGCCTCTTGGGAGCCTCTTAGGGCCTCCTGGGCGCCTCCACAGGGGCCTTTTGGAGACCCCTTGGGGCGGAAGGCTCGTATTTTCGGTTCGTCTTCTCTCTCGTGGGCCCCTCTTGGGGCCGTGTTGGGGCCCTCGTGGGCTGTCTTGGGCGCCCCTTGGGCCGTCTTGGGGCTCTCTTGGGCCGTTTGGGGGCCCCCTTGGAGTCCTCTTGGGCCGTCGTGGGGCGGTCTTGGGGGCCTCTTGGGTCGTCTTGGAGCGTCAGGAAGCCGAAAACCCTCAGGGAAATCAATGATGTTTGCCTCTTGGGACACTCTTGGGAGGCCTCTTGGAGGCCTCTGAGGGCGTCTTGGGAGCCTCTTGGGCCGTCTTGGGGCCATCTTGAGCGTCTTGGAGCGATCGTTCGGCGACTCGAGGCCCCCCACAGGTGATGGGGCTGCTGATGATGATGAGGTGCAGGGTCGTGAGAGCGAACAGTCTTAACGCGATTGTTGTTATCGTTGTTGAAATCTCACTTCTCCGGAATAATTGCCATTACCCCCCTCTGGTGGCCTTTCTGTATTGTCCAATTCAAGTACTTACCCCCGGACTTGCACCTTGTTTTTTAACCAGGGAAAGCGAGGGGTCACCAAACCTGGTTATTGGCCCCCGAATTACAACAACTATAGCTCCCCCCTAGTATTTTCGAATCGCGCTCTCGCGCGGGACCTCACAATGTATGCAGGAATCGCGCTCGCGCGTGAGACTTCCCCGCCATGTATTCAGACGCCGCGCCCTCGACACTCAGCAATCACGCTCTCGCTGTGGATTTCCTGACGATGTACGTGGGGGAATCGCGTTATCGCTCGAGAGCTCCTCGCCATTCATGCAGGACGCACGTTTCAGCAACCCGCCTGCTCGACCTGGCCGCCTGGGCCCGCCTTCCCGACCGCCCGTTAGATTCTACCCGCCCGATCTGCCGGTCTGGTTCTGCCACGTGTTTTCTGCTCCTTCCCCCATGTGCCTTCCTTCCATCCGTCCTCTTTTCCCCTGCTTTAGGGTCTGCACGAAAAACACGTTGCAGGTAAGAAGGAGATATACCCCAAGGGGAGGACGGTCGCAGACGAAGAGGGCGGGTATCGAGGGTTTGGGATATACGTGTTGACTGGCCCGCGAGCAGATAAGAGCGAACAGTCTTAAACTGATTGTTGTTGTTGGTGGTGGTGGTGGGGGGTTTTTATTGTTGTTGTTGATGTTTCTTTTGCTGTTGATATTGCTGTTGCCTTTGCTGTTGTTGTAGCTATTGTTGCTGAATTCTCATTTCTGAAAATCTGTATTATTGAGCCCCCGCTGCCTGGTAACCATTGTATGTTTCAATTGGAGTGTTTCTCCCAGGGCTCGCACACTTGCTTTTACACCGGGGAATATGCGGTGTCACCAAATGCGCCCTTCGCCCCCAGTTTACAACAACAATGGCTCCCGACTAACATTTCCTCACAGTGTATTCCCAAATCGCGCTCTCGCACGGGACCTCTCACAATTTATGCAGGGCTCGCACTCTCGTGTGGGACTTCCTTGCAATGCATGCAGACGCCGCGCCCTCAACGCTTAGAAATCACGCTCTCGCTGTGGATTTGCTCATGGTTTATTTAGACATCGCGGTGTTGCTCGAGACTTCCTTGCGATTCATGCAGGACGCACGCTTCGGCATCTTGCCGACCTGGCCGCCTGAGCCCGCCTTCTCTACCCGCCCGCTAGGGTCTACCCGCCCGATCTGTCCGTCTGGTCCTGTCACGTGTTTTCTGTTCCTGGCTCCCCTCCTGCTACTATCTCTCGTGCTCCGTCCTCTCTCCCCCTGCTCCGTCCTTCCATCCGTCCTCTTTTCCCCGACCTCAGTGGCTGCACGTAATGCACCTTGCAGGCAAGAACGATCGACTCACAAAGGGAGACGGACGAAGACGAAGAGGGCGGGTATCGAGGGTTTGGGGTATACGTCTTGAACGGCCCACGAGCAGATATGACCGAATAGTCTTGAAATGAATGGTGACGAGTTCTCACTTCTAAAGAAAGGCACTGGAACCTCCCAATTTTTACCCACCCCAATTTGTACTGCGAACTTCCGTTTACCCTTACATTCTCTCCTTCACCACAGGTTTTCGATCTCTTCTGGGCGCTCGGGTCTTTGGCCACATACGTGAATATGCCGGCTGAGAAACACCACATGGGAACTCTTGCGAAAGGCGTGCTGAAAACAACACACAAAGTGCGACGCACGGGGAACTCACCACCTCAAGTCGACGACGAAGAACAACAAACACTACAAGACCAATTCCAGCAACGTCTTTCGGAAGCTAGCGTGGCGAGCGGTTCCAACATTGCGAACACTACCCCTAAACCTTTGACGACATATACTTTCCGGGATATTTTGAAGGAGCAGTTGGGACCGATCCAGAAAAATCTTATGGCTATTAAGCAGCATGGTATTTCAAAGCATGACCTCCAGATAGCCATCAACCCATTGAAGAACGATATTGGCGACTTGACAAATAGGATCGGCTTATTGGAGTCGAACTACACGTCCCCGCCGGTCTCGGGACGAACATCCGAAGCATCAGTGGACACAGCCTCGCAAGCAAAGTTATTAAATTTGGAGAAGGAGATGGCGGCATTAAAGCAGCGATACACATCTACAGGCAGTCGTGCACAAGATGTGGATAGGAAGCGCGCGTTGACCAGAGTTGAATGGTAAGTTAGATGGTTTCGGCTTGCTAAACACAGCGTCGGCGTGGCTCCAAGACCAGTTGTCGGCATTATCTGCGCCGACCCCGAACAACATGTACATCAAAGGGGACACCACCACAATAGTGTATGCTGAGTTCGACACCGCACCGGACAGGGACACCTCCGTGGCCATGATCAAGAGTGCCAAGTTGTCCCGAAAGGGAACGGCGTGTGGGCAACTCCTGACAGGCACCTTGTGGATAGGGCTGCGCGGAATCTGCGCTTCGGCCTCAAATACATGTTGCAGCAGCACGTTCACATCGAGTACACCGTGAGGGTCAATGACACGGTCCCGTATCAGGTGCACGTGGGTGGGGAGTTAGTTTTGACCGTTTCTGAAGGAGGGGGAGGAGGTCTTAAGCACGAGTGGACAAAGGCATGGGGACAACGGCAGGGACTCCAACAGCATCCCAAATTGAAGGAGCTCACGGATAAGTGCGAGTCGCTCTTGAACAAAGCGTCCAAGGGCATGAACGGCACAAATCATTCCAAAGGTTCGGCGAGAACTAGGGATTGCGGCCGGACTCCAGAGCCGGCGTAGACACTGACATTTGGATAGGATTTGGTATGAGTACGATGCTGGGCAGCACGACCGCGCGCACGAACCCGGGCAAAGCTACCGTCTTGCAAGGGCCGTCTGTTGTTGTACCTTCTCCACCACATCTTCCAGAACCTTGTTGCCGAGCTCCTTCCTTGCCCCCTACGCCCTCACCTGACCACACCCGTGGGCAAGAGCATCACGGAAACCTTGAACGAGTCGGCGGCGGAGCCGACAGACAATCACCTACGATGTCAACGGCGAGAATGGGCAAATATACCATTTGGCCAAATCTCTCCCCGCAAGTTCCTCGACCCCTTGATACCCATGATCTTCCACTTCACTCAGCATGCATTGTGGGGGTACCGAGCATGCAGATTGAGAGCGTTTCACCCAGAGTTCCACGACAATGCAGCGACATACATATTTCGTTTTGTATTTCCTCGCATTCGCATTTGGACTTGCATGGTTCAGATATTGATCAAACGCCAAATTTAGCGAAGGACGAGCGACATCAACAGCCATACTTGGATATGCAGGGCCATGGAAATCCGAGGCAGCCGCCGAGCTGTTCAGACCACGCTGAAGTTGCACCCCATTGTCCTCGCAGGTTCTCGGGACGTGGAAGGTCGAGGGGCTGCGGGGCCTATCAAGTTCGCGGAGCTCACCAAAAGGATGCGCGACAAAAGTGTAGCAATTCTCTGCGTTGAAGAAACGCAGCTCCATGGCACAGTTCACTACAAAGACGACGGCGGCTTCCTCATATGCCTTTCTGGCGAACGCGACGTCAAAATCCGATATACTGCCGGGGTCGGGTTTATTGCAGCGCCATGGGTTGCCTCAGCCGTTGCGGTTGTCAGGGCATGTTCTTCGAGAGCAGCTACATTGCGCGTTAAAGAGGTGGGCGGCATGCTGACATTAATTTCTGCGCGTGCCCCCCGCAGTGGGCGCGATCCGGAAGTGCGTCAATATTTCTACAACGACCTCCAGAAACACATCGAGCCTACCACGTCTCATAGTGCGACCGTGGCCATGGGGCGCATCAGCGCCGAACTCTTGCAGCAGACAGCGGGGGAAGACAGCGCGATTGGCAAGCGCGTCTTCTTGGCGAGCCCCCCAAAGAAGGCTCCGACATGCATTGCGACTACTTTGGGCCCTTGGCCCAGATCACCTCATATAGATGATTTGGTAACCCATGCAACCTAGGCTATAAGCCAGGCAAGATATGATATAAGCCTGGCAAGTGAAAGTAACAGTTACATAAGTGTCCAACACTTGCGAAACGGATGCCCATGGTATAGGTCAAATGAAGGTGGCCGCGA